CACACACACACACACACACACACACACACACACAAATTAAAAAAAAAAAGAGCTCAGTTTGAGAGAGACTCAAGGGGAGGTCCCAAGCTTGCTTCTACAAGCAAGCCACTCTGGAGACCTATGAGAACTCACCCACCCATGCTGGGTGGGCAGAGTCCCTTCCAGAGGCCCCTGACTGTAATTACCTCCTACTCGTTTCCTTTTCTTAAAGGTCCCACCCCCCTCTCTGTCCAGCATAGGAACCTTTGGGAGATGACCCTATCCAAGCCGCAACAGATGCTATAAGAATTCTGTCTCTTCCTTTCAATTCTGTATTCCTGCCTGGCTTCATCGTCAAGACAGCTTCCCCTGCTCACAACAGCCCAAGCAGAATTTTCACCAGATTAGCAAACCCCACAGAAAAGAGCATTTGGGAACCAGGTCTTCCAGCCAAAGTCTCAGAGCTGGTTCTCATTGGTCAGAAGGAGCCATGTGTTCACATCTGACCCAATCAGCTGTTGGAGGATTCTGATTGGTCAGCCTGACCTTGAAAGCAGGAACATTCAGCCTCACCCAAAATCATCTGGACAAAGAATAGGCACGAAGTGCATCCTGGGTGATGTACCAGATAGCTGCTGTTCTCATCAGAAGGAGTGGGACCTGGGCAGTGGCAGACACAGACGTGGGGTTGGGCTGATCCCCCAATTTCTGTCGGAATTTGTGCTTTATTTATTTATTTATTTAGATACTGGGGATTGAATTTGGGACCTTGCACTTACCAGGCAAGTGCCTATGCCCCTGAGCTATATCCCTGGGCCACCTATACGAATCTGTAAGGCTCATTCTTGGTTCTGTAGGATTTTAGCCCTTGACCTGCACCCGCTGGTGTCCTGGTTCCCTGACGTGTTCGTGTTCTCTCACACCCATCCTTCAGGAGACACACAGGATCTATAGGCAGAAGCTGGAGGAGCTGACTGCCTTGCAGACCTTGTGTAGTGGGTCAATCAACAAACAGAAGAAGCGCCTCAAGGACTTGCGAGTGGAGCTCCAGAGGTAAGTCGGGCTGAAACTCGAAGGACCCTGGGAATGCTAAGCGGTAGCCTCAGCTGATTTTTAAATTCTTTTTCTTTTTCCCCGTGCTAGGGATTGAACTCATGGCTACTCTCTCACTGAACTATTTCCTGGTTCTTTTTGTTTATTTTGAGGTAGATCCTTGCTAGGTTAGTTGCCCAGGGTGGCTTTGAACTTGTGATTGTCCTGCCTCAGCCTTCTGAGTAGCTAGGATTATAGTCCTATGTTACCACTTTTTTTTTTTTTTTTTTTGAGACAGTGTCTCACTATGTAGTTCAGGCTGGTCTTAAACTCTTGGGGATCCTCCTGCTTCAGCCTCCTGAGTGGTGGAATTACAAGTGTGTACCACCACCCCCAGCCTAAGGCTCCTTTGGTTTTTAAGGAACCAGAACTCAACTCAAAACTGGTTCAAACAAAGAATGGAAATTTTAAAGGAAAAACCCAGGAATAGCTTCAGGCATCAGCGGATCGAGGGCTCAAAGGTCACTGTAGAAACTGTTTTTCTCCTCTCATCTCTGCCTTCCTCTAGCTTGGCTTCATTCTCAGGCTATCCGATGGCCACCCACAGTGCCACACTTTGTCCTCCAGCATCCTTCCTAGTGGCAAGCCCCCCCCCCAAAAAAAAAGAGGGAAAACTGCTTGTTTCAATTGTCTGGGCTTTCACAAGCCTCTGTGTCCTCACTAAAATTCAAGCTCTTCCTTTAGAACAGTGAGGGAAGGTGTAGCTGGGCGGCTGGCATCCCCTCATGCCCGCTGCGTGCCCCGCACTGCCCCAGGTGCTCCCGCTGTTTGTGCTCAGATCTTCCTCACAGGCTGCTGTCAACACAAGGGAGAGTCGAGGACGTTGCCAAGATCACAAGGCTCTGGGGAGCGAGGCGTGGGCACAGAGGATATGGAACAGAAGTTGCAGCTAGGTGTGGTGGTGCAGACCTGTAATCCCAGCACTCGGAAGGCTGAGGCAGGCGGATTGCAAGCTGGAGCCCAGCCTGTGCAATTTAGTGAAGCTATATCTCAATAAATAAATAAATAAAATATGGGGCTGGCGAGATGGCTCAGTGGTCTAAAGCACCTACTTGGAACAAGCTTGGGAAAGCACAGTGACCGCGGTTGGATCCCCAGCACCACATGCCAGCCAGCCCTGCCCCCTGGTGGGCTGAGCTGGCCACACACACAATAAATAAATAAATAAATGTTTAAAAATAAAAATTAAAAAATAAATAAATAAATAAAATAAAAAGGGCTGGCACACACTTCTAATCCCAGTACTAGGGAGACTGAGGCAGGAGGCTCATTGTGAATTCGAGACCAGTCTGGGCTGCAAAGTGAGCTGAAAGCCAGCCTGAACTGAATGAGACCCTATCTCAAAAAGACAAAAATAAAATAAAATGGCTGGGGATGTAGCCCAGCGTGGCATGCCTGGATGCAATCCCAACCCACAGAGAAACAAAAACAAACAAACTGAGGTCTGGGTGAGGCTTCTGCGGGTCCAGACCCTCCCACCCTTCCACGTTGTAGTGACAGGCTTCCTGCCTGCCCACCACCACAGGTACAAGCGCCGGGCGGGTCAGGAGGAGGCAGAGCTGGTCCAGCAGATGGACGCCCACATCAAGGAGCGGCAGAACGTCTTCTTCGACATGGAGGCCTACCTGCCCAAGAAGAACGGGTAGGAACTCAGGCCCCGGGGCCTAAGGTGGACAGGAGGTGTGGGGAGAGATGAGGCAGGAGGAGGACGTGGCGCACAGGTTCTTCCCGCCCAGGAGGGGCCTTCAGGTGCCTGTGACCTCCCAGAAAAGGCTTGCGAGAGGTGCCACCTGGGGTGCAGAGACAGATGTTCTCTCCAGGAGAAACCTGCGGTGCTGGCCCGCGCCTCCCCGCCTCGTGCTGACAGGACCCACGCTGCTCCGCACTTTTCAGCTGCCTGTTTTCACAAGGTTCAGTGAGGCGCGTGAGCTTCTGGCCTGGGCAGCGCGCAGCCCGAGCATGGCTAGGCCAGGCCAGGCTCCCTGAGCTGGCAGTCACAGGCTGTGCTGCAGCAGCAGCCCAGCAGGCGTGCCCATGTCGCACTGTAGCGCTCTGACCTCCCTCCTCGCCTCTTTCTCTCTGGTTCTTTGTGTATTTTACACCGGTAAGGAATCTGTGTACCAGATGATACAAAAGCTAACTCAGAGTTGTAAAAGGGGGGAAAAAAAAAGGAGGATTCATTGGCTCCCAAAGAGTCCAGATACAGCTTCAGCTGGATCCAGTACCTCAGAGGACATGGAGGGCTGCCCTGTTAGGAACTCTCATGTGGCTTTCTTTTGTAGTGTACACATTTCCTGCTTAAACAGTCAATTCTCCACCCTCCCCAGTTCTACTTACATTCTAGTAAGGGTAGGAAAAGTCCCAGGGCTGATTCTCTGGCCTAGATTGTCACGTGGCCACTCATAGTGGGGTTGGGGGTCACATGATCCTTTTAAACCTTAGGATACTTTGCTGTGATTGGCTGAGCCGTGGTCATGTGCTTTCCATGGGGGTAGGGTCACGTGATCCTTAAAGCCTTAAGACATGCTGCTGTGATTGGCTGAGCCATGGTCATATAGTGGGGTATGATTGTCTAAAGAGAACCAAGTTGGCCTGCAGGAAATGGAGATTGAGTTCTGCTCTATAATTCTGCTCTGGTTGTAGCAGACTGGAAGCGTTCTGAAAATTAACTCACAGGAAAAAACCCCCAACCCATTCTCATCTCCCTTCAAACTTGTACATACTCTTCAAAAGCCACTTGAAAGGGGCTGGTGAGATGGCTCAGTGGTCTAAAGCACCTACTTAGAACAAGCTCAGCAAAGCACAGGGACTGCAGTTCAATACACCAGCACCACATGCCAGCCAGGGCCGCCCCCTGGTGGGCTGAGCTGGCCACACACACACACACACACACACACACACACATAAATAAAAATAAAAATAAAAATAAAATGTCACAGTAATCTCTGTGCCTGGAGTTTACCCCTCCTCCCTGAGGTGCGACATCTCTTTATTTGCACCTTGGCTAGTGCAAGCCTCTCCCAGGGTAACGCCTGCTGTTTCCTACAGGAGCCCAACACACACATGCACAAGGACCCCGCAGTTCTGCTCCCGGGCAGTTCTGCTCCCGGGTAGTTGCGGGTGCCTCGGCCTTGCGTCCCCCGGGAGGTGGGCCTGAGATGGGCCTCAGTAAAGCAGCCAGACACCAAAGGTCAGCACTGTGCCTGTTCGTATGAAATGGCCACAATAGGTCGATCCCTAGGGACAGAGAGTAGGCACGAGGTCGTGGGGATGGGACAGGACTTGGACACGACTGCGTGAGGGGGTAGAGTTCTTTTCAAGTGAAGGAAATGTCCGGGAATTAGGTAATGGTGATGGTTGCTCAATATTGTAAATATATTGGAAGCCAGTACATGGTGCACTTTAAAAGGCTAAATTTTATGGCATGTGAATTATGCCTCATTTTTTTTCAGGAACTGTTCACTGCCCAAACCAGAAAACACATGGCTAAGTCTGGAGGACCTTATGCCCAGTGAATTAATCCAGATTCAGAGAGCACCATACTGCATGATCTCATTTGTATGTGGAATCCAAAAAGGGGGACATTGAGTACACAGAAAAGGAGAGCGAAGAGTTGTCACCAGCGGCAGGGGTCTGGGGGAGATGGGGAACCCATTCAAGGACGACAGACTTGCAGTTTTGTAGGGCGAAGCAATCTAGAAATCTAGCGTATAGCATGAAAATTGTGTTTAGGAATGTCCTTTTGTATATTGAAAAGAAACTTTTGAGTCAGGGTCTCACTATGCAGTTGAGACTGGCCTTGAATTTACTAAGTAGCCCAGGTTGGCCTTGAACTGGTAGCTGTCCTCTTACCTCAGCCTCGGGTACTGGGATGACAGGGTATTGAACCCCAGAAGCTTTCCACTGAGCTACACCCTCACCCTTTTTATTAATTAATTAATTATGTATTTAGTACAGGGTCTATAGGGTCTTACTACATAGGTCCGACTCATAGTGAACCTCCTGTTTTCATCCTTCCAAGTGCTGGGATTACAGATGTGTGCCACCACACCCAGTTTCAATTGCCACCTCAGTGTGACCCGTGGGCGAGGGCGGCATGCCTGCCCCTCTGCACCCTGCCTAAGCAGTTGCTTTAGTCTGCTGGACTATCAGGCCAGCCCTCCCAGCCCTTTTTAGAGTCTAAAACCTTTTGTTTTTATTTTTGTTTGAGGCAGGGTCTTACTGTTTAATTGAGGCTTGCTTTGAACTCACTGTGTATCCCAGGTTGGCCTTGAACCTGCAGCAATCTTCCTGCCCCCGCTGCCTGAGTGCTGTGTGTGCCCCCTGTGGGCGGCTTGTGAAAGATTTCAGTACTCTGTATGTACCAAAAACCAAAACTAAACTAAAAACCAAAAATTGAATACCCAAGTACCCAAAATGAATCGGTGGTAATGATTCCACCCAGTGGAACACTGTTCACTGGAATAAAGGAGTCAGGAGAAGTGTGATGGTGGGTGCTGCCCCAGGTGTGCTCCTGAGGGGGGATGCCAGACAGGAAAGATTTCACACTGCATGTTTATGTGACGTTCAGAAACAGGCAAAACAAGGGATGGCCAGATAGCTCAGCGGACTAAAGTGCCTGCTTAGGCAGGCGCAGGGACCACGATTCAATCCCCGGCATGCTGGGCCAGCTCTGCCTCCGGGGCACCCTGAGACAGCAATGGAGACTGGGCGTGGTGGTGTGTACCTGTAATCCCGGTGCTCTGGAGGCTGATCTGTCTAGTGAGCCCTGTAGGACCTGTACTACATACATTTTTTAAAAAAAGAAAACAGGCAAAACAAACCAGTTGTGCTGGCACATGCCTGTAATCCCAGCACCCAGGAGGCTGAGGCATGAGAATTGCTTTGAATTCAGTCAGCCTGGACTCCAAAGTGAGCTCAAGGCCAGCCTGCGGTACATAGCAGACTCTCTCCAAAAAAAAGTCTGAAGCTGACACTTAAGATGTGTACACTTGTGAAGGTTGTGCTTTTTTTTTTTTTAAAGCAAGGTTACATTTTATTTATGTGTTTATTTAAGATTACTTTTTTTTTTTTTTTTTTTTTTTTTTTGGCAGAACCAGGGATTGAACTCAGGCCCTTTCGCTTGCCAGGCAATTGCTTATTCTGCTGAGTCATCTCCCCGGCCCCTTAAGGTTACATTTTTAAGACAGGAAAAGAAATGGACTCTGGAGTAAATTTGGGCCCAGTGAAGGTAGGCGAGCACACCTTAGTGTGCACGTGGACCACTGTGGCTTAATTTTCACGAGTATCCTTTTGTTCAGGCTGGCCTTGAACTCACTTTGTAGCTAGGCTGGCCTCAACTTTGTAGCAACCCTCCTGCCTCAGCCTCCTGAGTGCTGGGATTACAGGCGTGTGCCACTATGCCCAGCCAAGAGCATCCTTTTTAAATTGATTTAGAGACTATCCCTGTGTCTTTGCCTCACTGGCTGGAACCTAGTCACGTGCTGCGCCTGGCTGCAAAAGAGGCTAGGAGCTAGGGGTCATAAGTCAGCTTCCGTGGAGAAGTGTGTTCATGACAGCGTTGTGCACACTGTTGCCAGTGTCTCTAGCTAACCCGTCGCCGCCGCTTGATGGCCACTGGGCCACCTGCTCAATGGCGTGTCTTCTGCTGTTGACTACCTGTTGGTTGGGCGTGGCCCTCACTGCTCTGTCTTCCAGGCTTTACTTGAACCTGGTCCTTGGCAATGTGAACGTGACCCTGCTCAGCAACCAGGCCAAGTACGTACCCGCCCCGCCCCCACGGCTCAGGCTCTCGCCACTCGGGGAAGACGCACGAGCTAGGCTTTGTGCAGAAATCCGACTGTGAGCAGGTGGGGCTCTGCGCCTCCTGAGCCCGTCCTCCTCTGTGGCTAGCACATGGCAGAGCTTTCTGCTTTCCTTTTTCTCTTCCAGTGATCAACTCCGGGTGCCATGCATGCTGGGCTCCACCTCTGAGCCGCACCCCAGCCCTCCTCCCTCCCTCCCTCCCCAGGTCACTTAAGGTGGCCCAATTCCCTGATGCCTGCAGCAGCCTCTGCTCCATTCCCTGCATGTGACAGCTTTTCTCAAGGGAAGCAGGGCCTCCTGTCCCTCTGTGTCAGGCCATTTCTGGATGGCTATGACCCCTGGCATTTGTTTTTGGTTGAGGGAGGAGGGTCCAGAGGGTCCAGAGTCTTAGCCTAGAGTTCCAGGACGGGACAACTTTTGTAATGGATCTTCTATCCCTCTTGGTTGTCACTAACTCAAGGCCAGGTCTCTTTCTGCAGGCTGGCAGGTCCTTTGGGGTGGGGCTTGGGGAGCAGAGGGGTCATTGTGTGTGACCTTCCTGGTGCTGTGTTTCGTGGCAGATTCGCCTATAAGGATGAGTATGAGAAGTTCAAGCTCTACCTGACCATAATCCTGCTCCTGGGGGCCGTGGCCTGTCGCTTTGTCCTTCACTACAGGTAGGGGACTGGTGGGGTGTGAGGAGGAGGCGGTGGCCGGAGGGCTGTGCCGGGTGCAGTGCAAGGCTGTGAAGGCGGCCGGGATGGTGATGGTCTTGCTCCGTGCGGTGCAGCCTTCGTCCCCACGCCGCAGGAGGACATGGTGCGGCCCGTGCTGCAGAGGGATGGCAGGAAGCAGCACGCCCAGGGCCGGAGGTGGGGTGTAGAAGGCTTGTGTATAATTCCACTCAGAGCCGGAAAATCTGTGGAGACAGAGTAGCTCAGTAGGGAGAGACTATTTGTGTGTTACAGAGTTTCTTTGTTGTTGTTTTTTCTTTTTAAAACTTTTATTTGTTTGTTTTTGTTTTCTTCAGACAGGGTTTCACTATGTAATTCACACTGGCCTTGAACACACTTCATAGCCCAGTCAAATTGCCTTGGCCTCCTGAGTGCAGGGATTACAGGCATGCACCACTCTGCCTGGCTCAGAGTTTCTTTGGATGATAAAAATGTTCTGGAATTAGGTACTGGTGCTTCACACAATTCTGTGGATGTGACACAGCCCATTTATGTTCTCTGAAGGGGGAGTTTTAGCTGAGCATCATGGTACGTGCCTGTATCTGGGCCGTCTGGAAGGCTGAGACACGAGGCTCACAAGCCTGAGCCCAGCCTGGGCAATTTCAGGACCAAGAGAGATCCTGTATCAAAATTCAAAAATTACACAGAGCAAGGCTTATAGCTCATGTAAAGGCTCTGGGTTTGATCCTCAGTACTGCAGGGAAACAAAATAAATTTCATCATATATGAATTGTATCTCACTTATTAAAAAGAAGGGCTGGGGATGTAGCTCAGTGGCATAAGCACCTGCCTGGCAAGCGCTAGTTCCTGAGTTTGATCCCAGATACCAGAAAGAAAAAAGAAAAAGAACAGGGCATGGTGGTACACGCCTATAGTCCCAGCAGTCAGGAACCTGAGGCAGGAGGATTGTTGTGAGTTTGAGACCAGCCTGGGCTACAAAGTGAGCTCAAGGCCAGCCTGAACTGCATAGCAAGACCCTGTCTCAAAAAAGACCAAAAAAAAAAAAGCACGAGCAAGATCAGATGGCCTCACTAAATCCAAGCCCTGAGACAGGTTGTCACCACCAGTTGTCCCCTCTGGGAGCCCCAGTCTCCCACTTGTAAGCTGATGCAGCTGCAGGCCGAGCGTGGTGGGCTGCGTGATGTGGTGAGGCCACACTGGGTCCCCGTGGCCGAGGGCTCTCTGGGACTGGGGCCAGCACTGCCGCCCCTCCATTCCCTGGGCTTGTGTTCTCTGCCCTGAGGGCGGCAGCCAAGTCCGGCTGGGGCGCAAGCCCACATATGGAGGGTCTGCGTGCTTGTGGGGCTGAGCTGCCACCTGGGCCACTTGTGTCCCAACAGAGGCCCTGAGCCTGAGCCCTGCCAGCTCCCTGGGGGCAAAGGCTGTGCTCCCCAGCAAGGGCCACTCATGCGCGCCTCTGGACAGTGCTGAGAGTTCTTGGTGTGCAGCCAGGGTCCCTTGCGCTGGGTCCTTCGGGGCGCTGCATGGAGCCTGTGCCGAGCTGTTATGTGCCAGCGATATGTCACACACCCTCTCGCCCCTCCCCTCCTGGACAGATTCCCTAACAAAGGAATGGTAAGTTCAGGGCCTAAAACAATAGGAATATATTGTCTCAATCCCAGAGGCCAGAAATCAGAAGTCAAGGTATTGGCAAACGGGGCATGGTGGGACACATCTGTTACCCAGTACTCTGCGAGGCTGAGGCAGGAGGATCTCAGGTTCAGGATTGGTCTGAGCAACTTTGAGAGTTAGTGACATCTCTGCCTCCTGCACTTTCTGTTCAAATCTCATGGCCTCTGATTGTCTCAGCAACAGGCATTTGAGCCTGTTTTTTTCTCCTGCTGTGGCCAGGGTGGCACTTTCTGGCGGGCTCTGCGTGTGAAGCTCAGCTCCCGCCCATGGTAGCCCTGCCGGCAGGTGCCCTTGTGCCGTGTTTGCAGGCGGCGTTATCTCTTGGAAGTTGCTCACCTGTCCATGGTCCCATGGCTGGGAAGCAGCAGGCTCCAGATTGGAACTCAGGCCCTGGGATTCCAGAACATGCTGGTCTCCCAGGACTGTCCCCAGCCACCACAAGGCACACTTGCTAGCTTTGTGAAGCTCCCAGCATCTTCCTTTGCTGAAGTTGCTCCTCCCTTCCCACCCTGGGCTGTCACCGTGGGGGTCTTCATTTGGTGGGGGCAGGCATCAGGGCTTTCTTCTGTCCCTTCTGCCCCCAGGCTCCGAAGCCTTCAGCTGCCTGTCTACCTTTTCTTCCCCCAGTACCGGGCATTGAAGCCAGGGCCTTTGCACTAAGCTCCACCCCTAACTTTTTAAAATTTTATTTTGAGACAGCGTCTCACTAAATTGTACAGGCTGGGCTTGAACTTGTGATTCTCCTGCCTCAGTCTGCCAAGTCCTGGGATTATGGGCGTGCATCTCTACCTGGCTCCTGCCTGTTCACTTTTGAGGTTTGCTCAGCCCAGCTTTAGGGGTGAAGCAGAACTGGTTCTCCCATTAGCCTCCTACTCCTAGCCTGTGTGGGCTGCAAGATGGCCTTCGTCTGCATAGCAGGGTTTACTGCTGGGCCGAGGGACGGGGATGCACCCTTTAGCCCCACACAACCTCATCTAAAACGGCAAGTTTCTTATTCTTCTAGGTTGTCTGACTCAGGTGTGGTGGTCCACCTGTAACCCTAGGGAGGCCGAGGCAGGAGTATCACCAGGAGTTCAAGGCCAGCCCCGGAGACCCTGTGTCCAAAAACTAAAGAACAAATAGGCCCTCCGCCACCCTGCCAGCAGCTTCCCATCAGACAGAAAGTGTGTGGCAGATTTCAGGGTTCCCCTGGGCCAAGTGGGCTGGGCATCGCAGTGGATGAAGACCTGTTCGAGGTCTGGCTCCTGTGGCTGCCTGGGGGTCCTAGCTGGTGCAGGAGGGGGCCCATGGTGTGTTGGGGTGAACACAGGTGGCTGTCTCTGCTTCTCACATGGCTCCCCCTACCCAGGGTGACGGACGAAGTCTTCAACTTCCTGCTGGTGTGGTACTACTGCACCCTGACCATCCGTGAGAGCATCCTCATCAGCAACGGCTCCAGGTAACGGAGCCCGCTGTGCCCTGTCGCGGAGGGGCGTCCACCCTGTACTCCCTGTCTCCCTGGGGCCCTATGACTGTGCAGGCGCAGGAGGAGGGAAGCCGATGCTGTGGGTACAGCGTCCCTCTTGATGCCAACTAAAAGAAACCCTAATTTAAACTGATTTAGTGTACTAGGAAATGTGGTATCTAGAAAAATAAAGGTAGGTCAGGTTCGTTGGGCCCAACCTCAGGCAAGGCTTGACCAGGCGTTTAAATGTCACCAGACCCAGCTTCCCTCCATCTCATCTCTTCATTCCCGGTATGTGACCTTTCTCCTCAGGGTCCCTGTTAGGGCCTCAGCAGCCGCAGGCTCACGTCTTCATGCCAGGTAGACAAGGCACATTTCCTCCGGTGAGGGAGGATCTCCCTGGCTAGGTTCTCTGGGCTGTGTCTAGATGCCATCTGGGTGGCTCCCTTGCCTGTGTCCGAGCCAGTCACTGTCTCCAGACAGCGCTGTGATTGGCCAGGCTGAAGCCTTACTCACCCCCTCAACTGTCATTAGCAGCACAGAAAGTTCTGCAAAAGTTTCCCAGGGAACATGGATATCGGTACTAGAAGGGTGGATAGGCTTGGACGACAAGAGGTGGGTGCCGCATGCGGAGGAGAGGAGGATGGACAGGTGGCCGAGATGGAAGACTCCTGGGATCTAGTCCCTGTGCCATCACCGACCAGCTCCGTGAGCCCAGGCTGTTTCTGAGAGATTGTGTCACTGTCACTGAATGAATGCAGGTGCCATTGTGGGTGGTCTGTTTTCCCATTTCTTAAAGGCTCTGAGTTCAAGAAGCCCTACAATTTTCTCTTCATCTCTTTTCCACACTGCCTGCCCCTGAGAGAGGTCTTGACCCAGGAGGACCATGGCCTGGCACGGAACTCAGGGACTGAGTGGTACTCGGCATGAGGTGGCTCTGTCCACTGTCCCAGCAAGTGAGGAAATGGAGATGCAGGTCTTGAGAGCCTGAGGGAGGAGGGATCAGCCAGGAGCCGTGTATTCAAGACTGAAGACTTGGCTGGCTGTGGGGGCACACGCCTGTGATCCCAGCACTCTGGGAGGCCGAGGCAGGAGGATCACTAGTTTGAGACCAGTCTGGGCAAGATAGTGAGAATCTGTCTCAAAATTTAAAACTAAGCTGGTGGTGTAGCGAGCTCCGTGCAAAGGCTCTGGGTGCGAACATCTAATGGGCTGTCCTTGGCTGAGTCGGGAGGGGGAAAGACCTGAGAAGCTGGTGTCTTCCTGTGACTTCCTCACATGGGCTTGGGCCTGGCATCTTCTGACGCTGTTGGGAAACACGGCAGTAGTGGACCTTCTCAGGTAACCAACACTCACAGCTTCCCTTGATTGTCGAGGGAACAGCATTGTCCGCTTGGGATGTGGTTAGGAGGAGGCAGGGTGGGGAGCAGGGGGACACCCTTACCACTAACTTCCTGGACCTACAGCCTTCTGCTGGACTCGGCTCTGGGGCGTGCTTTGTAACAGTCATTCCCACTTTAGCAAGAGTTCCTCTGGGCAGCTTTGTTCTTTTTTTTTTTTTTAAATTTATTTTATTTATTTATTTGTGTGTGTGTGTGTGTGTGTGTGTGTGTGTGTGTGGCCAGCTCAGCCCGCCAGGGGGCGGGGCTGGCTGGCATGTGGTGCTGGGGGATTGAACCGCGGTCCCTGTGCTTTGCTAAGCTTGTTCTAAGTAGGTGCTTTAGACCACTGAGCCGTCTCACCAGCCCCAGCTTTGTTCTTAAGGTATGTTGTGCCAGGGTGCAGAGGTGCTCGGAGACAGAAGGGAGGACTGACAGGGTCCTTGAAAGCATGGGACTTTCGGGTGTACTAAAAGGAAGGCAGGCCGGGGATATAGCTCAGTAGCACGGTGTCTTATCTGGGAAGCGCAAGGTCCTGCGTTCGATTCTCGGTACCAAACAGAAGGAAGAAGACGTGGCCCTGGAGCCCAGTGTTTGCCTGCTGGTCAGGTGAGGAAGGACCATCTCCTGCCTGTGACGCAGGGCTGCGTGGGGTCCGCTGAGCGTTCAAATGCCATTCATCTGCATTTCTTGAATTTCATTTCCTGAGTGCTAGACCCTGAGTTAGGGACCCCAAGGTAACTCACACTTGCTCTTAGGAATGCGCGCTGCGTTCTGTAGAAAGGCCCTGTTGTGGCCAGCAGGGTCTGGGCAGCTCCACGGTGTAATGGAGCGTTTCTGAGCTATCTTCCGAACTGGCATGGGCAGGGAAGTGCAGGTGGGGCTGGCGGCTGCGTGGCAGCCTCGGATTCCACGGTGACCGCGCAAGCCCTGGCAGGTGACGGCACCTGGCAGAGATTTTGGCCCCCAGCTTCTTCTGGCTCTGGCCTTTCAGGGCACAGCTAAGAAGCCATCTCCAGAGAGGAGTGAGGGTGTGGAGGCACCCAGACCTGGTTGAACTCTACCTGTCTCTGACTCGGGCATCTCGGGGCCAGCACGGGCGCTCAGGGTCGGTACCCATGGACACTGTGCTCTGTGACAGATGGCTCCTGCCCAAGTTCTCAGTAAGCGGAGGCCCTGAGGCCACACTGGGGTTGGAGACAGCAGGGCTGAGCCACAGGGACCTCCCTTGCTGCCCTGGTTGGCATGGCCAGGGTGCCCTTGTTCTGTCCCTCAGGTTGTACCTGAAACCAGAACTGAGCCAGGAGGAGTGATCAGGGAGGAGAGCAGGGGTGACTTCCCATTATGAGATGATGCCCACCTGAGGTGAGCCCCTTGGCTCAGTAAGCGAGTCCACTTCCCTGAGTTTCCAGAGTCGGCAGCTTACTCAGTTGGCATTGTATCTGCAGGGGCACGCAGGGGCCCTGTAACTGGCATTTCAGGGAGATGAAAGGGCAGTGTACTAGCCCTCCCTCCCTGCCCCCAGAGCCAGTGGGAATTCTGAGTCAAATTTGTGATTGGCTAGGCTTGGGTCACCTGCTGGCCTACTGGACAATCACTGTTGTAGGATGGTTGCAGAGTCCTGATTGGCCAGCTCTGGGCCATGTGCCACACTATATTCCTCAGCACCACGTAGGCCAAGTGAGATCTGAGACTAGGTTCCTTATAAAGAAGCATAGACTGCAGGGATGGGACGGGACGGGATGGGATAGGTGGCGGTTGACAGATGGTGGAACAGCCGGTGTCCTCTGCAGTTCTTGGCCAGAATGATTAATGAATCGACCACGATGCTGGCTTTCCAATGAGCCAGCCTACAGTACCGGTTTTCACTGGCTTTCTTAAGGCCCTGCCATTGGAACAGACATATAGTAGGTGGCAGGCAGGGGAGAAGCTTTCGTAATAGAAATGCATGTGCAAAGCCAACCCAGAGCCCTGGGCAGCCGGATGGACGGTGGGGCCTGGGAAGAAGTGATTGCTGGCTGCCCCAGGGTCGCAGACGCGTGTCGATTGATAGTGTCAGAACTGGGCTATGGGCACTGAGGACTGTGAAATTAAAAGCTGCTGCTTGGTCAGGTTGTAGCCCGGAGTCTGTTTGACTCAGGCCACCCTCAGACCAGGAGAGGGCATCTCTCAGGGGACCCTTGGGCAGTAGGACAAAGGAGAGGTGACCACCAGAGCCTGGGGAGGCTGCAGCCCACCTGCCCTTTAGCTGAGGCCTGAGGTCCAGGCCAGCTGCCCGTGCTCTTAGGAAGTTGCAGGTGGGATGTGGAGACTGGGGTTAGAGGGTTCTGGGGCACAAGTGCCCCGAGGGTTGTCCCTTCCTGTTCCTTGCATCAGCAGCACCTCCTGGACCTCATGCATGTTAACATTTACTGAGTGCCTTTTGTGTACCTGGTGTTGTGCTAGGAATATGGAGCCCACATAAAGCCCTCTTCTCTTGGGTAACTCCTGTGGCGGAAGTAGCTGCTGCTGGAGCAGGTGATCATGCCCAGAGCGTGGCAGGGCCGTGGAGCGCAGAGGAGGTGCTTCAGATACAGTCCCTGTTTTTGTGACATGTGTGCTCTGGTTGGAAGGTTTTAAGATGGAGCCAAGCCACTTACTAGCAAAATGGGAATTAAAACTTTGGTGTTGGGCCGAAGGCAGAGTTCAGCCATTGAGTGCCTGCGAGGCCCTAGGTTCAGTACGCCATGAAAACATGCTGGGCGTGGCGCCGCATGCCTGTTATCCCAGCACTCTGGGAGGCTGGGGCAGGAGAATCTCAAGTTCCTGCCCAGCCCGGGCAACTTAGTGGTTTAGTGAGACCCTATCTCAAGTAAACAGCAAAGGGCTGGAGAGTGTAGCTCAGTCTGGAGCCCCTGGGTGTTCAATCACCGGTACCAAAAAAAAAGATTGGCAGAAATTTAAGTGTTGGTGAGGGTTTGGGGAACTCTCACACTGCTGATGTGGGTGTGAGTTGGGGCAACAGTTTTGGAGTATAATATACTAAGTAGCATGCCCTGATCCATGCCCTGTGCTCCTGGTGGGCATCATGGGGAGAGTGTCATTGTGCTAGGGAACTTGTGCAAGATGTCACAACAGCATTGAAAGGCATGGGCATTTGTGGAGGGAGGCGGCCAGAACCACACGCTGGAATATTATAGGGTGTTGAGGAGTGACTGGCGTGGTGACACTGTCTATAATCCCAGCACTTAGGAGCCTGAGGCAGGGTGATCATGAGTTCAAGTCTAGCTAGCTTGGGCCACCTAGTGAGAGTCTGTCTCAGAAAACAGAAAGAGGGCCAGGGAGATAGCTCAGTGTAATAAGTGCTTGCCTGGCAAGTGCAAGGTCCCGAGTTTGATCCCTGGTACCACAAAAGAAAAGAAAACAGAAAGAATGACAGACTTGTGGTCAGCAGAGGACCTGCAGCTACTACGCGAGAACAGGCTGCAGGATGATTTGGACTTGCGGTCGTGTCGCGGCCCCCCGGCAGCAGCAGGCTCTTGTGGGTCCCCCTGTGAGTGGAGGGCCCACTTCCTCTGGCCCCAGAGAAACCTGGAGTGACAAAGGTCCTACTCTGCCCCCAGATATCCGCAGTCCCTTTGGGACATGCTTGGGTGGCAGGTCCTGGGAGCCCATGAGGCGCTGCCTACCGTGGATCTGTGAGTTGGAAGGGGGAAGCTGAGGAGCTGTGCTCCTTTGTTCCTCCGCTGCCGCTGCTGCCTGGTGCAGAGACCTAACCAGGCTCCCTTCCTGCTGCCGTGAGAGGGTATAACAGTCAGGGAGCCCCAGTTCTCCCAGTAGGGCCTCCACAGCTCCTGTAGTGGGGAAGGGACGTCAGGGCTGGGAGAGGGTGGCAGAGGCGAACTTGGAGTGTGTGCAGTCTGCTGCGCAGCGGCTCTGTGTGTACATGCACACATGTGCACATGTATGTTTATTCAGCGTGTTTACAGAGCAGCTGCTCTGATCCTGTTGTCACAGGTGTGCTGATAAGCAGACCTGGTCCCTGCTCTTCTGGGGCTCTTGTATGTGTGCGAGGGTGGCTTCAGTACTCGAGCAGTGCCATAGGTGATCTCGGATGGCGGACAGCACCAGGAGGGAAATGGGTGTAACTGGTGGGCTGAGCGGCTTCTTTGGTCCCTGTGGCCGGGAAGGCCTTTGAGAAGAGGTGATGGGTGGTTTGAATCTTGAATTTGGGCCCAGACCCAGGCAGGCAAAGTCTCAGGGCAAAGCTGTGCAAGGTGGCCCACGCCTATAATCCTAGCACTCAGTAGGCTGAGGCGGGAAGATTGCCTCAGGTTTGAGGCCGACCTGGGCTACATGTTCTCTCAAAACTGCAGCCCCCCTTCCCCCTGCCAAGTCTTGGGCAGAGAGGACAGCGAGGGCAAAGTTCTGTTGGGCATATTCAGACATTTCTGCTTTGTGCTGGAGGCTGGAAGTCCTGGCATGGAGCTGACTGGGGGGTGGGGGGTGGGGGGTCCTCCTGGGGCCTTGTTCCTTGGCTGTGACCCTGGGGGCTTCCCTGCAAGGTGCGTGCACCTCACATCCCCATTGTCGCTCCTGCTTGCAGTGGTGCTAGTCACAGCAGACCAGGGCCTTTGCGACCTCCTTTCTTTTTTTTATATATATTTATTTATTTTTATTTATTACATTTATTTATTGTGTGTGTGTGTGGCCAGCTCAGCCCACCAGGGGGCGGGTCTGGCTGGCATGTGGTGCTGGGGATCCAACCGTGGTCCCTGTGCTTTGCCAAGCTTGTTTCAAGTAGGTGCTTTAGACCACTGAGCCATCTCTCCAGCCCTGCGACCTCCTTTCAAGGCTATCTGCAAATATAGTCCCCTTCTAAGGAACTTGGGGACCCACTCAGTCCCTAACAGACTCAGCCGGGTCAGGGAAATGCTGGGCACTCAGGCTTCTTGGCATGAGGAGGACTGGAGGTGGTGCGCAGCTGGTGGGGCTGTGCTGTGTCCTGAGGGACTGGAACAGGGGAGATGGGGACAGGGGTGGCTGTGTTCAGTACTGTTCCTGAGCTGTGCCCAGCCTGCAAGGCCTGAAGCAGAGTGTGGTTCTCTCCTGCCTGAGCCCCCATCTTCTCTTGTTCGCTGCAGAATTAAAGGCTGGTGGGTGTCGCACCATTATGTGTCCACATTCCTGTCGGGAGTGATGCTGACATGGTGAGTTGCCCCCATGTGGGCCCTTGAGCCGCTTAGGGAGTTGGGCCGGGCTGGGCAGGGGACCTTCCAGGGCCACCTGGGTCTTGGGAGCTGTGGAGAGGTTGGAGGCCTGACTGCCGGGGCTCTGTGGAGCCTGCTGGGGGTCTCCTAGCGCTGTTTCATCTCCTGTTGGCCAGGGCAGAGGTGACGG